TGGTTCCCTTATGCTTCTTCACTTTTAAGGATTATCCATTGTCAGGTGATCTTGATTAGGCTGGGAATTAACTAACCAGAGAGCTGTGGTGTATAAATCAAAGCAAACCAGCCTGACTTTCTAGCACACTTCCCTTATATACTCTATTGAGGAGGCGGAGAGATAGGGTCCTAATGTGGTACCAGAGGTTTGAAGCTGCGGTAAAGGGAAATCATAAGTCTAAATGAGACTACTCTGAGGAAGCCTTCCCAGGCTAGAATTAGGTCTGAAATGGGTTTAAACTAGGCTAGATGAAGTTTAAAAATAAATAAATAAATGAAGTTTCAACTTTATTGCCCTCTACTGGTCATTAAATTATTGCAGTTTCTAAGCATTTTTTCATGCCATGGAGAATATATTCGTCACTAAATGTGAGAGCATTTGTTTAGTGCTTGTGCTGTGGCTAGCATAGTTCTGGGTGCTGATAATACAAAAATAAATAAGACTTAGATCCTGCCCTCAAGGAGATCAATATGATTAAACAACTCCTAAATATAGTATGTGATGAGTAGCTTCAGTTATTTCTCACTATTTTCAGTTTAGTTCAGTGCTAGCATATCAATTTAGAGAAACAAAGTTTGAAATTGTATCCATCTTAATAAATTCACATATTAGGAGCAAAGTCTTCTAAATGTACAGGCACTTTATTCCTCAGGAAAAATAGTGGTGTTATGCTAGGTGTTAATGAACACCTTTTCTACCTTAAACAAGTGGCAAGATCTGATTCAATAAATGTCTGTCTTGAGCCATTTTCCTTCTTTAGTGTCTAGAAATAAAAGAGGAAATCTCATAGTAAATGAGCAACTAGCACCTTGAATCATCACCCCAATGCCAATCCTGGGGATGAAGGTCCTTACCTGGAGAGGATGTGATTAATCTTGTGCTTCTTACCTCTCACTAGAAGTGGAGCTGTCCGCTCAGAGGTGGATGAACATTAGTTTATTATTCATTAAGCTTCTGACTGCTGAAAGAAAGAAAAAGAACCTGCCAGAATATCCCACTAGGAAGTATATCTCAGTATCATACTCCTAAAAAACAGCTAAAGGCAGAGGTAATTTTGAAACCTCATGAAGTCCCAATTACTGAAAATTGCTTTCAGACTCAATGGCTTATTTGGTCTTTTCCTGAACGCTTGGAGTTACTGCCCTGGTGATGCCCCAAATTTTGTGTATTCAGAATCATTCTGATTTTAGGAAATAATTTCCAGCACTGGAAGGTGTAAAGGTTTAGAAAGCATAAAATCCAAAGAGGCATATTGGCAGAACTATTTCTTAAGGGAAAGAAAATCAAAATAAAATAGCTTAAGTTAGAGCTATTTTCTCAAAAGTTGCCTTTCCATGAAAATAAAGTTAATGATGAATTGTACTGGTCTGCCTGAAGGCTGAGAGAAGTAGAATTATTGACATTACTATACTACTGACCTCAATTGAGCTAAGCTTTAAATTCTGAGAAACAGGTTTTCAAACAGGTTTATAGGCCAAAGAGAGTCTGGAACACCCTAAGGGCTTGGTTTCCCTTGCCAAATCATCAGTCAAAGCTATTACTGTCACTCTGCCTTTTCCTTGTAGCTACATAATAAGACCCAACTGCAGTTGCCATTTTCTAATGAATATTAGGTGTGGCCTCTATTTTCTACCATGCAGGGGGGATACTGGAAGAACTTCATCTGAAGCAACATCTATGAGAAAGGTGGCTTCATGCCTTAGAAGTTAAAGTGGATTTTAAAGCAACTTAGATTACATTTTAACCAAAATTAACATATGTTTATTGAGGGCCTAATACATATTTATTAAGAGTGCTAGATAATGTTGAAAATATATATTTTTTAAATAAGCATAGTTCTTGCCTCCCAGGAACACAAACTCTAGTTGGGGAGATAAACAAAGCCATCTGGAAAGTTTAATAACACAATAGTTAATTTAAATAACACATCAGAAGCTGTCACGGTGGGTGCGGTTCAAGATTAATTTCCAAAAGGGTGATAGAGATATTGCCTGGTTCTGTAACAAACTCAAGCTCATAACCTTTGGATATTCTTTGAAGCCCATTATCTCTCAAGAAAGAAAATAGTATTTGTATCCAGAAAATAATTTTTAATCCCTTTGAAGTGTTAAGGCGGAGTTTCTCAGTGTGTGACCTCCCTGTGCCAGATCCACTAAGGAACATGTATTAAAAGTGCAGATTCCTGTGCTCTGACCCAGACTAAAATAAGAGAATCACCAGTGGTCCAGTCCAGGATCTGCACTTTTAACTAGCATCCTTAGGTGATTTTTGATACACAATCAAGTTAAGAAGTACTTTAGAGGGAGAAATCATGCCATAGTATTCACTCATTGCTTTCCCTGAAGCAGATGGGCTTTTTTCATCAATATAAATATAGATACAATCTAAGCAGTAATTTCAGAGTTTGGAGATGTTAAGAAAGAAAAGACTCTAAAACTATCCGGAAGCACAATACACATCTGCATCTATAGCTTACAAATAGGAAATTTGCAAGTTTTAATTTATTCAATGAGGAGTGTTTACATAGTCACATCAATGACCCCTAAGAGTGTGTGAAATAGTTTATTAATACAGTGTCTAAAGTTTTGGAAGCTATTTGCTAAAGATCTAATTACTTAGCTTCTTTGGGGTTATTTAAGGTTTCTGATCTATATGAGGAGAATGAAAAATAGAATGGCTGTAAATGCAAGTGTAGCTATAATTAGGATAGCCTGTCTGCTGCCTCCGTTTTCTATTTTTCCAGTGATAAATGCCAACAAAGTCCCTGATGCATTGAAGAGGCCCGAGATCTGTTTATTTTGTAATAGAAAAAGAATGAAGGGGATTTTCTAAGTTTTTTGCTAGATGGAAGACACATTTCTAGCTTCATGTCTAGTTGTTATAAATTTATCTATATTTATCTTCTTGCTAACCTAGGCCACCACCTTCAGGAGGAAAACTTCTGACTTCTAGTCATGTGGGTGCTTTGACAGCTCACATTACTTTTGTAGCTTCTAGAAGAAGCTCAGAGCTCATACCCTGCAAAACCTAAAGGAATATATTTCAGTTGTTCACCACATTTTATATTTATTATTCTAATAGAGTATTCTATTAGAATAAAATTTAAATCATCACTTTTGGAAATTCAGTTCCTTGTTATGCAGCAAGTGTCATGTTTGAACAAAGACTATAATCCTTAAAAAAATAGCCACATAAAAACTTTTGTTAACTGAGTCAAATAATAATGAACCCATGAAGGTAGGAGATACACTGGTAGAGATATTAAATTACTTTATTCCCTGAAAGGGTAAATCAATATAGTTTAACTTCCTCCTTCCTGAATTGTCCTTGGCTGGGATTAACTTTTGGAAAGTTTTAGCTAAAAGAGAGATTTTTTTAAATGATGAGCAAATAAAAAGGAGGTGTTGGAAGGGAGTGCCCCTACTCCATAGACTGTGGTTTCCCCTACTGGAAGATCTCTCATGTTCCTTTTTATTAAATGTTGTACTGCATTAAACATAGTGCTTAATTTATGATGTAATATTTAGGTTTTACTTGACTGAAATGAATTACACAGAAAAAGAAAAAAAAATTTTCCATGTCTCCTCTAAAAGTTAAAAGAACTATCTTTTCTTTGAACTTCAAAGTATGTGTTTGGGTTCTAAATGATCACATTGTTCACTTGTTTATTTCCATAGAAAACTGCATTTTTATTTTTACTCACCTTCTCCCCCCAAATTTTTGATCTATGATCCACAAAGCGTAC